CCGAGTAGCAGAACCGGTATCTGCACTTTTTGTCGGAAAAGCGACTTTCAACATTATTAATCAATTTCTATATTTATTTAAGCCTTCTCATAATTATTAGGGTCAATTATGGAATTATTTCCTAATTCTCACATTTATTTAATTAATTTTCTTAATTAACGGTGCGGATTCTTACAGGCTGGATGGCTATAAATCTAGATCTAGATAAAGCCTGTGATCACCTGGATTGGCATTTCATTCATTATACCTTGGTGGATATTGGGTTACCTGTGAACCTTGGGCAACTTGTTTATTTTTGTGTGCAATCCCCTACCATGAACATTTTTTGGAATGGAAAAGCTACGAGGCAACTGAAACATGGAATTAGACAGGGAGTTTTGTTATCTACATACCTCTTTGTGTTGTGCATAGAGAGGCTTGCTCACCTAATTCAAGTTGCAGTCCAAACTAAGGCCTGGAAACCTGTCACTTTAAGCATGAACGACCCTCCCATCTCGCACCTGTTATTTGCAGATGACATCTTCCTTTTCTCTGAAGCATCGTTAGAGCATGCCTACTAGATCAATAAAGTTCTGAAAACCTTTTATGGTGCTTCGGGCCAGAAAATAAGTATAGAAAAATCGAAAGTCTTCTACTAAAAAAATATGTACTTCGCCAAGGCTAGGCAAGTAAGTGAATGTATGAATTTTGGAATCATTGGAATTTGGGCATGTACTTAGGAATTCCAATGCATCATACATGCATTACCCGTGATTCTTTCTCTCACATTTCAAGAAAGTGGAGGATATGCTTAACTTATAGAGCCAGAATTCCTTTTCTCTAGCTGGCAGGATAACTTTGGCCAAATCTATCCTCGGAGCTCTCCCAACCTACTATATGCAAACATCTTCACTTCCTCTGTCGGTTTATGATGACATTGATAGGCATACCAGAAGCTTCATTTAGGGATCCTCAAGTGGTTCTAGTAAAGTGCATCTTGTTAAATGGGAGCAGGTGTGTTTATCCAAACATTTGGGTGGTCTAAGTTTCATACCTTCAAGGTTGGTTAACAATGCCTTGCTCATAAAGGCTGGCCATCAGATGCTCGTGGAAAAATATGCTCTTTGGAGTAAGGTGCTTAGAGCCAAATACAAGGTTGAAGATGATTTCATTCCCCTAATGTGATGCTCTGTGCTAAGTCCTTTACTTCCAAATATTTCCAGGTTCAATATTCTTTCGGAAAGGTGGGTCCCAATCCAATTGTTAGAACGAAAGTGCTCAATTCGTGGTCCCCTCCTTGATGAATGATTTGAGAGCTTCTTGTGGTAATGTCTTCAGAGACTACTTTGGAAGATGGAATGAGGGATTTTTCAAATCCCTAGGAACAGGCAACTCCTTAATGGCAGAATTCTGGGGGTTTTTGCCGGGTCTTGAGCTTGTTGGAACTGCGAGTTTGTGAGAATTTGGTTGGAGGGTGATTCATTGTTACGATTTTATTTATGTTATTTTATTATTTTTTGAATTATTGGGTTATTTAACTAGTGGGTAGTTATTTTTCTTGTTTTGTTATTAGTGGAGTGTATTTGATGTTAGTGGATAGTTACTTTAAGATTGACTCATATTATCTATTTAAACCTTGAAATATTGGAATAAAAATTATTAGATCAGATTAGAAGAATTATTTGGAAAAAAGCACTCTGTGCAAGAGGTCAGGCTTCCTCAGTAAAGCCATTTGAGGTCATGCTTCCTCAGTAAAGCCATTTGAGGTCATGCTTCCTCAATAAAGCCATTTTCCAATTTTTATTTCTTTTGTTCGTAACAATCGGTATCAAAGCTCAGGCATGGACAAACGCGTTCAGAAATTGGAAGACTTGGTCCAGTCTTTTTTGGGGCAATTCAAAGAGATGTTCAAACAATTATTCAACCGGTTGGACGTCTTAGTGGCTAACAGGCCCAACACCCTCTTATTTGCTATTGGGCAGGCAAAATTATACGAGGCCCGTAATCAGAAGATCATCTTTCCTGCTCAGAATATGCAACAAACCATAACAGTCAGCAACACCAAGGGTTCATCTTTATCCACTCCCACCAGCGGTGCTGTATCTTTCGGCAGTGGCACCTCCTCCACTGGTTCGACTCCCGTTCGTTCTTTGACCTTCGAAGAGATATCCGAGCGGCGACAAAAAGGGTTGTGCTTTCGGTGTAATGACACATTCACTCCAGGCCATCGCTGCAAACAATTGTTCACCATCCAATCAATGACAAAAGAGAGCGACAACGAGGCAATGATGGACGAAAGTGAAGGAGAAGCGGATATTTAAGATGATTCAATTACTTGATATTTAACTTACTCTTGAGGACAAGAGTAATTTCAGGGGGAGAGAATGTTACGAATTTATTTATGTTATTTTATTATTTTTTGAATTATTGGGTTATTTAAGTAGTAGGTAGTTATTTTTCTTGTTTTGTTATTAGTGGAGTGTATTTGATGTTAGTGGGTAGTTACTTTTATGATTGGCTCATGTTATCTATTTAAACCTTGAAATATTGGAATAAAAATTATCTGATCATATTAGAAGAATTATTTGGAAAAAAGAACTTTGTGCAAGAGGTCAGACTTTCTCAGTAAAGCCATTTGAACTCAGACTTCCTCAATAAAGTTATTTTCAAATTTTTATTTATTTTGTTCGTAACATTCATCTTCAGCAATCCACCTAATCACTAAAGGATGTCAACAACATGATGCTTTGTTTTGCTTGGTTAATAGAAATCGTAATTTCTTAGGTAGAGATTGGTGTGTTAGTGTCCCATGTTCATAGGAAAGGGAATGAGGCGGTTGATGTTCTAGCCTGTATGGTTGTGCCCCTGGACTAGAATTTGTATGTCCTTGATAGTGCTCCTCCTCTCTGTTTTGAGGCGACGTAGAAGGATGTCCAGGGTGTTACAACACCTAGGATGGTCCGGAAATTGTAACCAAGTTATCCTAGTTGTATCTGTCTTTTAATTTTCCTTTTTCTCCCAAAAAATAAATATATAAACGGGCATCAACCACTACTAAAAAAATGCAAAATTCCATCTAATTAATTTCATTGATATCAATGATTTTGTAGAAATATCCAAGCGAAACAATATCGTGTGTAATTATATTGACAAAATTGATTTTTTGACGGACCAAATAACTCCGTCAAATATTTAGCTATGGACAGTCAATTTGCATGTGATTTTGCACCATTTTCTATGTAAATCTACAGAAAATTAAATGATCAGAAAAATAAGAGGTCGTATGTTTAAATTTTTGAAAAAAAAATAACTTTAATCATTTCTTTATTTTAAAAGTTCTTTTTATAAAAGTTAAAGTTATTTATATTTTTATAAAAATATTTAGATTTTGAAAAAAATATTTGGCTTTTGACTTCTGCTTTTCTTAGAAGTTAAAATTTTAGCTTTTTTAAAAAATAGGTTTTTAGTTTTTTTTGTTATTTCTCATTTTTTAAAAGTAGACGTCCAAACAAACTAAAAACGAGAAGTGGAGCAACTTTTGAAAAAAAAAAAAAAAACTCATCGAAAACGAGTCCTTAAGTGTTTGTTGTATATGGGCCGCCGTGGAGTGACCAGATACTAGTAGAACTTGATCTCCCTGGTGTAGGGCACGATGCAAGGATAAGGTAGGTTGTACGAGTAAATCAAAGGGATGGTAGTGAAGGAATGTTAGATGGTAGGACTTAGGAGGGTGTGCAAAAAAGTTAAATGAACTGAATTGTGAACTCAACCAAATCATAAGAAAAGAATTAATTTTTTTTAACTGATTCAACAATTATACATTTTTTCTATATTTAATGTAGATAATTTATCTACGTTGAGTCTAAAATGACTTCGTTTTGAAACAAAAATTAAAGTATTTTTGTAATTATAATTTATTTCAGGATTATAATAATTTTTTTTATTATAATTTTTTAATTTTTAAATCCAAAACAACGTCGAGCAAACATAAATAACTTATCTACATTCATTTTAAAAACATTAAAACCTTAAACCATTTTATTCTAATCAATTCAAGAATCAAACTGTTTTTTCAAAAACAATTCTGATAACCGAAACTAATTAAACTATACTCATTTTTAGGAATATAAAATAAAGGGGTTTATTACTCTCAAGTAATAGAGAAATAAAACTTTATTCCTGTGCACTTGGTTAAAAGTGGGATCCACCTATTTACCAAAAAAAATAAAATGGGATCCGCTAAGAAAAAAAAAAAAAAGTGCAGCTCACTTATCGATGTGAGGGCAAGAGATAGTCTAATTTTTCCGTCACTTAAGATAAATAAAACCATAAAATAAAATCAAATAAACTGAAATGAACCATGCACTATATTTTTTAGAATTAGTTTGAGAATCAAACCAATTTTCAAAATTGATTCGATTGAATCATTTTTCTACTTTTGTTCAGCTTGGTATAGAAAACCGAACCAAATAGTGCACCACCCTAGATGATGGGAGTGGGCCGCATAAAATATCCCAAATTAAAATTAATTTTATGACCATCCAAGTTGTTGAAGTTTTATATCATAACTATATGTAGGGCCACGGCTAGAAAAGTGTACTTCAAGCATTACAACTCGGAGAGTGCAGGCATGATGTCAGCTTTTCATTCTATAAAAGAATGGCAAATTGGATTCAAATGTTAGGCCTACTGTGTTGAAGAAACTGATGATCATATGAAAGCCAACTTGGTGTGCTTTATATAGAATTGGAGAGATCATTTGTATCACTAACACCTTTTACTTATTTTGCAATTTGCATCACATAAACGTAGCAATTACAAATAGAACAACATTTTGAATGATACATTGAGGAGACCTTAACACGACTTAAATTTATGACTTTCAAATGCATGGTTTGGCATGCAATTAGAACACAGAATCTGGAGGGCAGAATTAAACTGAGGACATTAATATACATACACATATATGCTGCTGGACTACCACTGTTATGGGACCTATAAGGAGTTGCTTATTTACATAA